AGGAAAGAAATAAGGAAGGAGTCTGTGCTGCCTTCAGAAAGTATCTATATACCTGATCGGTCAGTTGCCTTCCACAGAGGGAGGCCAGACTGTGGCTTAGGCCCACTCCCCACAGGGACATCAGTAGGACATCCTGTGAGGGCTCCCAGACTGTTAGAGGGGGCAGGATGGGCTGAGGGATGCCCCCCGAGTGCACAAATTTTTGTGCACCGGGCCACTAGTATATATATAACAGCCTGAAACAAGTTCAAATAAAGCTAATGTCAGAAGAAAACACATTTCCAAACTTCATTTTTCTAAGTCCTTCCTTCCTTGTCTATTCATGTTTAATTTATTCCAGTTAAGTGGGAAATCATCTAATGTCACATCTATACTTTTTATAAATGACTAACAAATACAAAAAAATTTCATCATCACTAAGAATCACAGAAATGTTAATTAAAAGACATCAATTTTCTCTTACAAATTAGCAAAGATGTGAAAATTAAGCATATGTCATTCCGACAAATATAACTACTTCTAAAAGTTAGGCAACAACATAATATCCATGTTCTGTGACCTAGAAACTTGATATCTCCTCTATTCTAAGATGGTAATTAGAAATACTATGTACAGCTCAACATCACTAATAATCAGGAAAATGCAAATCAAAACCACAATGAAATGTCACCCTCATACCTGTCAGAATGGCTATTATCAAAGACAAGAGATAACAAATGTTAATGAGAATGTGAAGAAAAGGGAACCCTTGTACAGTACTGGTCGGAATGTAAACTGGTAAAGCCATTATGACAAACAGTATAGAGGTTCCATCACCTCATATAGTTAGCGTATTCCTTCTGAATGGCCAATTGATAGGCAATTTAAATTTCTTTTTCAGATTTTTCTGTAGTTTTCAAAGTGTCCATAAGTAGGTACTTCATATTGCTTTTTATTTTTAAAAGCAAAACATTGATTGCTAGCTATCTGTATATTTAGGGAATGTGGTAACATTAATATTCAAGTGAAATAAAAGACTGGAAAAATTAGAAAAAAACAGAGCAACAGAGATAGTATAGTAAAAAGGCAAAAAAATTATATTCATATGGGAAGGTTTAATATTCTCAGGATCTAAAGAAAGAAAGGTAAGCGTGATAAAATCATATTCAATATAATAATTGTAAGTCTCAATGTCTTTACAATTTCAGTTTCTCTTTTAAGTTAAAGAAAAAGTATTTGGGTGCTCGCTTCGGCAGCACATATACTAAAATTGGAACGATACAGAGAAGATTAGCATGGCCCCTGCGCAAGGATGACACGCAAATTCGTGAAGCGTTCCATATTTAAAAAAAAAAAAAAAAGAAAAAAGAGTAAGTATTTGGAATATTTTTCACATAAATGCATTGAACAATAAACAAGAAAATATAATTTAAAAATATTTTATAAGAAATCATCAGAATTTACATAACTAAACAAATTAAAGCATTAATAAAAATTTATAAAAAAAACATATTCAATGAATTAAAATAAAATACCAACATCATTAAGTGGTAATAGTGCCCAAAGTAGGAAATGTAGATTTTGTAAATGACATAAATTTCATGTAGGAGGGCTATACTAGAGGACAGAGAACACGGTTCAAAATATGTTTGAAAACCCAAATCTCAGAATAATTGGATTTCATCTTCCAAACATTGTTTCTATTTCTGTTTTAGCACAAATTAAAACATTTAATGGGAGGCATATACTATTATTCTTTACTAATGAAATATTTTGGTTCTATATATGATTTCATTAAATGTCCAGGACAAAAAAAATGGGAAAGTGGAAAGAATGTAGCCAACGAGTAGCCAGGTGTTACCGAAG